TTGAGGTCAGGAGTTCAAGACCAGCCTGGCCGACATGGTGAGACCTCATCTCTACTGAAAATACAAAAATTAGCTGGGCGTGGTGGCGCATGACTGTAATCCCAGCTACTCAGGAGGCTAAGGCAAGAGGATCACTTGAACCCAGGAGGTGGGGGTTGCAGTGAGCTGAGACTCAGAATGAGACTCAGTCGCAAAAAAAAAAAAAAAAAGAGAGAGAGAGCGCCCTGCTGCCCTTGTATGAGAACTGAAGTTGGGATGTGGCCGATGGGAGTAAGGGGCTCAGCATGGAGGGTCCTCCAGTAGGGACCCTGGGGTGCAGCCAGTGTCTGAGAAGGAGGGAAGTGCTTCAGTCAGGAGATGTGCAAAGGCCCTGGGGCAGGAAGAGCTGTCACAGGATCACAGGGCCAGATCACGTAGACCATAGGACAGAGGGGTGTGGATTTTATTAGGGGCCCCAAAGGAGAGGGGTGATGAGGTCCCTGTTTTAGGAAGATCACTCTGGCTACCACGCGAGGACAATGGTGGAGGGAAACTGAGGCTGGCAGGCCCCAGGGGTGTTCAGTACATGGCCAAGCAATGCCTATGGGTCATAGGCTATTTCCAAGACTTTTCTTTTTTGGGGGAAGAAGGAGCCTCACTCTGTCTCCCAGGCTGGAGTGGACTGGCACGATCTCGGCTCATTGCAACCTCTGTCTCCTGGGCTCAAGCGATTCTCCTGCTTCAGCCTCCTGAGTAGCTGAGATTACAGGCGCATACCACCACACCCGGCTAATTTTTGTATTTTTAGTAGAGATGGGGTTTCATCATGTTGCCCAGGCTGATCTCAAACTCTGACCTCAGGTGATCCACACACCTCAGCCTCCCAAAGTCCCGGGATTACAGGCAAGAGCCACCGCGCCCAGCCAGACCATATTTCTTTAAATCCATTAATCTGCCGGTGGACCCAGGTCACATCCATGCTTTGGCTCTTGTGAACAGCGCTGCTGTGAACATAGGTGTGCTCAAGGTGTCCTTTTTTCTTGTTACAAAAAGTATTGCATTTGTAGAAACCCAAATAGTACGTGCTAATTGCAGGAAATCTGAATAACACAAAATGAGCAGTAGAGTAGGAAGGCGGTCCTCTCTCTTCCACCCCATCCTTTCATGTCCTGTCTAGGAGTCGCCGCCATCTTTCCAGACTTTTCTATACATATATAATGTGTTCATACATAAGTAAAGCAGCCCCCTCACAAAATGGAACCACACTGTGCCTATCCCTTTCACTTTATTTGCACGTATTTTAGACATACTTATGTTCATGGCAGCGTAGTATTCCATCGTGTGGCTCTTCCGATTGGCTTATGCATTTCCCAGCTGATAGGCATTGAGGTGCTTTCTTTGTCTTTTGTGTGTGTGTTTAGGCTTCCAGAGGGATGACTGCTTAAGCTTAGGGTCACTGAATGTTTACGATTTATTTTTGGCAGAGGAATATGTAAACGGGATGTAGCAAATTAAGTTATTCATGACCATTGCATAAGGCAATACTCTATTAACTTATGTTAACGTTAACACCGTGTTTAGTATGTTTATTTTCATTGAATTATATTAATATATGCCAGTCTTCCAGGGTTGCCATTGAAAAATACTACAGATCGTCTGGGCGTGGTGGCTCACACCTGTAATCCCAGCACTTTGGGAGGCTGAGGCAGGTGGATCACGAGGTCAAGAGATCGAGACCATCCTGGCCAACATGGTGAAACCCTATCTCTACTAAAAAGACAAAAATTAGCTGGGCATGGTGGCACGCACCTGTAGTCCCAGCTACTCGGGAGGCTGAGGCAGGAGAATTGCTGGAACCCAGGAGGCAGAGGTTGCAGTGAGCTGAGATCGTGCCACTGCACTGCAGGCTGGTGACAGAGCGAGACTCCATCTCAAAAAAACAAACCAAAAACGCCCCCACAGATTGGTTGGCTAAAACAACAAACATTTGTTTTCTTACAGTTCTTGAGGCTGGAAGTCCAAGATCAGGGAGGCAGCGTGGCCAGGTTCCCGTGGGCTTTGCTTCTCTGTCTGGTAGACGGTGCCTTCTTGCTGTGTCCTGATGTAGAGGAGAGGAGTGAGCTCTCTGCTGTCTCCTCCCGTGAGCATGCGACTCCCCATGCGGCCCCACCCTCGTAACCTCATCGTTAACCCTCATCACCTCCCAGAGGCCTCATCTTCAAAACCCACCCCCTTGGGTTAGGACTTCAACACATGCATTTTGAGGAGACATGGTCCAGTTCCCAGCAAAGCATTACTGCTTCTGCACGGGGCAGTGAGGGTTAGTGTTGTAAGTTTCTGAGCGGTTGGCCTGCCAGTTGACTGTGCTGGTTTCCTTGTCTGGTGCTGTGTAACAAAGCGTCCCAAACCCAGTGGCCTCCAGCGCTGGCCGTGTTACCTGCTCAGTGTGGCCAGGCTCAGCGTGGGGCTGGTCTCTGCTCTGTGGTGTCTGGGCCCACCCTGGGGTGGCTCAAGCCTCAGCAGCCTGGTGGGCCGTATCTGGGGTCTGGGGCTTCCGCTGGCCAGGGCCCTGGATGGCGGTGCCTTCTTCTCCCCGATGTGCCCTCTCTCGTATAGGGTCTAGGCATCGGGAAGAAGGAGGCAGAACCTTCCAGCCCTTTTGCAGCCTGGGCCAGGGACTGAAGGATGTGTCTCCTGCGGGGCCCAGCAGTCTCAGGTCCACCCCGCTCCAGGACAGGGGAGTGGAGGCCCCCTTCAGAGCGGGAGCGCCTGGGGTCGGGGAGGGAGGGAACGCACTCTCTGAGGCCATCTCCCACCATGTCCTTTGCCTCAGACCTTTTGGCCTTATTTGTGTTTTTCTTTTTTTGAGAGAGAGTCTCGCTCTGTCGCCCAGGCCGGAGTGCAGTGGCGTGATCTCGGCTCACTGCAACCTCCACCTCCCAGTTCTAAGGAACTTTCTGCCTCAGCCTCCTCAGTAGCTGGGATTATAGGTGCCCACCACCATACCTGGCTAATTTTTGTAGTTTTAGTAGAGATGAGACTTCACCATCTTGGCCAGGCTGGTCTTAAACTCCTGACCTCTTGATCCACCCGCCTTGGCCTCCCAAAGTACTGGGATTACAGCCGTGAGCCTATGCGCCCGGCCAATTTTTTTTGTATTTTTAGTAGAGATGGGGTTTCACCATGTTGGCCAGGCTGGTCTTGAACTTCTGACCTTGTGATTCACCAGCCTTGGCCTCCTAAAGTGCTGGGATTACAGGTGTGAACCACCTGGTCCAGCCTCATTTGTGTTTTTCTCTACTCCTCTTCTTTACAGCCACTGGCCTCTTTCTGTGAGCTGCAGACGCCCTCTTGGCTGCCCCTGTCCCCTCTGAGGTGCTCTGTGAGAGTTGCTGACAGAACTGTGTAGCCTCGGAGGCCTGTGTGTTTATGCCAGAGCCAGAGGTGCCCTCCCCACACTGAGCCTGTACACATGTTAGTTTCGTGTTCCGAGTCCTGACTTGCCACACTGTCCTGAGTGCCACCTGGCAGACAGACAACAGCGCCCAGTGCACAAGTTGGGTGTCGTTCCTGGGGTGGAACTGGGCACCCCCAGCCAGGCTCGCGTTCCTGGGTGTGATGAAATCCGGCTTCTCCGCGTCTCTGTTTTCCTTGCCTGTTAACTGGGGGTAATGTGGGTTCTGTTAGAATCTCTTGGGATCTTGGGTCCACCACACCTGGACGCATCTGTGGCTTCTGGGGTGGCTGGTTGTGTTTCTTTGTTGTTTAGACAAATTACGTGACTCCAAGTCCCTCCTGGTGCCAGGAAAGCTCGGGCCAGGTGTGGAGCTTCCTGCTGCTCTGGGTCCCTGTTTCCCCGTGGGCTCTCCCCGTGCCACTGTGCCTTGTTGGACATGATGCCAGGCTCGGGGTGATGAGGTGGCCTCTCCAGATGCTTCCTCACAGTCCCCAGAATGAGAGTGAGGAGGGCCTGGCCCTCTGTGGCTCCCTGCCTGGCTCCTGTCCTCCTGACTAGGGCAGTTACTGAGGCACAGGACTCTGAGGGGCCACAGGGGCCCCATGCTCCATGAAAACCAGGGTGGGAGCTCTTGTGGGGGCCACAGGCAGGGGGCTTCATGGGGTGGGGGAGCCCCTGGAACACAGAATCCGAGCCAGGCCTGGATGGCGTGGCCTTGGCAGGCTCTTCTGCAAATCCCTCCCCACATCTGAGCTCAGGTCTGGAGGCGGCAGGTGAAGGCCCCTGGACAGGGGCTGCTGCTCTGTGCTGGGAGCTACCGGTCCCCATGGCCTGCCCCTTGAACATCCCGTTCTGCCCTGGAACGGGTGCTGCACTCGCCTTTGCAACCCAGGTGTGCCATCATCTTGACCTCAGACCCCTGAGGACCTTGCCTGGTGGTTTGTTCACTGCTGGCTGAGTGGCCGCTGCGTGTCTTTGTAAAGCGGTACTCCTCAGTGCCTCCCGTGTGCTGGGAGTGTGGAGGGGCATGGGTATGGCCAAGCTAAGTGGGGCGCCCAGCACAGCACGTCAGTGGGGGTGTCCCCTGGGCGGGACCAGGGCGGGCTCTCCGGGCACTGCAGAGTTTGAGCGGAGCTGGGAGACAGGAAGAATTGTTGGGGGATTGGGCAGGGTGGGGTCCCTGGAGGCTGGGACAGGTTCGGAGGAGGTAAAGGGGGCTTCAAGTCCCCACGTGGCTGGAGCAAAGCGTGCAAGGAGTCTAGGGCAGTGAGGGGCTGGATCCCGGTGGTCATCAGGGTGCCCTGCTGAGCGCTTTGGGGCCCTCTGGGAGCTTCGGGGTCAAAGAGAGACGTTATTGACGCTGTGCTTTAGGAAGCCAGGTGGGCATCAGGGTCCTGGAGGAGGGAGGGTCAAGGGGGTGGTCGTGGGTGGGGAATGGGGAGTGGGGATACCCAGGCTCTCTTCCCCTTTGCCATGCATGCTGGAGGATGCTCCTGGGATGGGGCCTGTAGGACCTGTGACTCCCGCGGCGTCTGAGTGACCCTAGCTCTCTTTGTGTCTGCAGACGGCATCCACAGCGTCACGGCCCTCTGCACCCTGCGTGTCACCATCATCACGGACGACATGCTGACCAACAGCATCACCGTCCGCCTGGAAAACATGTCCCAGGAGAAGTTCCTGTCCCCACTGCTAGCCCTGTTCGTGGAGGGGGTGGCCGCGGTGCTGTCCACCAGCAAGGAGGACGTCTTCGTCTTCAACGTCCAGAACGACACCGACGTCAGCGCCAACATCCTGAACGTGACCTTCTCGGCGCTGCTGCCCGGCGGCGTCCGCGGCCAGTTCTTCCCGTCGGAGGACCTGCAGGAGCAGATCTACCTGAACCGGACGCTGCTGACCACCATCTCCACGCAGCGCGTGCTGCCCTTCGACGACAACATCTGTCTGCGAGAGCCCTGCGAGAACTACATGAAGTGCGTCTCCGTGCTGCGCTTCGACAGCTCGGCGCCCTTCCTCAGCTCCACCACCGTGCTCTTCCGGCCCATCCACCCCATCAACGGCCTGCGCTGCCGGTGCCCGCCCGGCTTCACCGGGGACTACTGCGAGACGGAGATCGACCTCTGCTACTCCAGCCCGTGCGGCGCCCACGGCCGCTGCCGCAGCCGCGAGGGCGGCTACACCTGCGAGTGCTTCGAGGACTTCACGGGTAGGTGCCTGCGGCCTGCGGGTGGCCGGGCTCGCCCGGCTTCGGACACGCGTCCCAGGTCACATGGCCGAGGATTTGGGGTGGTTTCCTCTGTCCACATCCCTCCAGGGAAAAGGGTCAGAGGACGGGCGCTGGGCCCAGGTGTGGGCTCCACGAACCTTGAGATGATTTCAGCAACGGCACTTTCTTTTTTTTTTTTTTTTCCTGAGATGGAGCCTCACTCTGTCACCCAGGCTGGAGTGCAGTGGCGCAATCTTGGCTCACTGCAACTTCCACCTCCCAGGTTCAAGCGATTCTCCTGACTCAGCCTCTGGAGTAGCTGGGATTACAGGTGTGTGCCACCACGCCTGGCTAATTTTTGTGTTTTTAGTAGAGACGGGGTTTCACTATGTTGGTCAGGCTGGTCTTGAACTCCTGACCTCAGGTGATCTGCCGGCCTCGGCCTCCCAAAGTACTGGGATTACAGGCATGCGCCACCCAGCCACTAACAGTGGCACTTTCTTAGCCGGCTCGGGACTTGCCGGACCGTAGCCCACGGCTCGCTCACCTCCCCTGCCTGGCTTCACCCCTGCTTTAGGAGAACAGGAGGGCAAGGTTGCCAGGTGAGATCTACTTAAAACCTGAATGCACAAAGTGCCGGGTGTTGCTTTTAAGGGACTTTCAGGTTGAAGTACTTCATTCCAGATTGCAAGCTTAATTGCTTAGTGTAAAACACTGGGACCGGCTGGAAATCATTGAGCCGTTAATCACTTAAGTCTCGAAAGCCGGTTTTTTTCATGCCACTGTAGAAATTTCGTGACTCATCCCGCCGCCACTGAAGACACTCTTTCCTTGATGTCTCTTGACTCATCACCAAGATGAATTACTCCAAATGCAGCCAACAGTGCATTTGGAGTAACTGGTGCATTTTAAAAAAAAAATAAAGAGCCAGCCGGAGAGCTGAACATGTCCAAAAACACACGTTCTCTGCATCGCGGCCACAAACCTTGCTTTGGTCTTTGATCGTCTGTTCCATAAATGATGGCTCGTTTGAAAAATGAGTTGACAGTGTCCCGGTGGTGAATGGTCTGGTGTGTGTGGTTTTTTTTTTGAAAGCTCTTTGGGATTAGGCGGGATTTGGTGCCTACCGGAGGTAACTTTGAGACGCTTCTATTGACTGTGTCCTCGATGAATCTGTTTAATATAAACACCTGAGGCATCGTTAGCTGCTCGTTAACAGCACGTAGCACAAGTTTATCGAGCTTATAACAAGGGTTTGAGGTATTAGCAGGTATTTATCAGGCAGGAAGAGCGCCCGGAGCAGAGAGAGGAAGGACAGCTTCCGAGGTTCTCTGCGTCAGAAGTGGAGGGAAAGCCGCCACAGCGCGGGTATTGGCAACCCAATGCGATGAGGCTCCCGGCTCGGACGCCCCGCGCCCAGCGCCCCAGGTTGGTGGCACTCTGGTCATACAGCGGGTGGAAGGAAGGCACCGTGGTCACCTGCCCCTTGGTGTTCCCACACCCGCTAGTCTGTGGCTGTCTGTGGGTGCCGTCTGGGTCTGGGGCGCTTCCCCCAGCTGTCTCTCACCAAGTGCTAATCCTAAACTCCTGGCTATACCAGGGCTTGGCTGTGTGCAAGGCAGGCAGGCAGAGGCGATGGCACACCCCCGCCTCCCACAGCCCACACCTGCGTTGGGGTTGGGGTTGGGGTTGGGGTGGGGGAGGAGGAGGTAGCTATGACCAGGCCTGAACCGGGCCCCCTCCCCTGCTCTGAGTTTGAGTGGATTCCGGTTCTGTGTCAGCTTCCCAAGGTCCCCTTCCTCCCCTTTGCGCTCCTGGCCTTGAGTGGGCCGCTCCGCCTCTCTGAAGCACCTGCTTGGATGCAGCAGTGGCCGGCACGGTAAGCGTTCCTCCCACGAGCCAGTGCCGCCATGTGCTGTGCGGTCTAGGTGGGGGTGCTTTGCCCACTTTCCTGCTTCAGGTGAAGAAGCCATAGCTGGGAAGAAGCCTGTTGTGCTCCCAGGAGTTGGCAAAGGCGCCATCTTTACTCGGTCCGCAGATATTGAGTACCTACCGTATACCAGGCCAGCACACACAGCCAGGCCTCCCCCAGCGCATTCCAGGGGGTGACCAAGTTCACTAATTAGCCGTTGGCTAATTTCATGGGTAGAGGGGACCCTGTAAGCACCCCCCGGCTTTGTCAGATGAGCCAGAAGCCCTAGGGTGCATCTCGCATGGCTTTGAGACCAGGCACCGCCAGTCCAGGCTGCGGTAAGCTTGGGCAGCGCTGGGTGGGGGCGGCTGAGGCCCCTGGGGATCCTGGGGCCTGCAGATCCCCCCCGACGATGATTGACCCATTGTGGGGGAGTCCACCTCCTGAGATTCTCAGGTTTCCTTTTCATCAGGAGAGTCATTTTTAGAACTCTAATGACTGGGCAACGGCCAAGTCTGTCATCACCAATAAGACCCGCTAACATGTAATGATTGGCATGAGACTAATTTGAATCTCTTTTGGAACTAAAATTATCATATGTATTTCCCTCCGAGATAAGGCTAATTAAGACTGATTATTTCTACTCCGTTCCTCTTCCTCTGTCTCTCCCTCTTTCCCTTTGAAGCGCTGCTTTTTCTGCGTGGAGGTAATTGAGCTCATTTATTCATGATGAAAGTGCTGCTGTCGTCACGGGGTTTTATTTCTTGCTCCCTGGTAAGCCGAGCTCGGGGCCTCACGGTTGTGAGGTTGGAACCGGCTGCTGGAAGCCCCTGGCTTCCCGTGTTGCCGGATGGGAGATGGCAGGAGCTGGATGAAGGAAGTAGCCGTTAATTTTGGGAAAAGCTCAACGAATTTGATGCTGGAGAAAATACAGCTCTCCTGCGTCTCTGAAATCCATTTTGGTCTTAGAGAATTCTGTTCAAGACCCCAGTGTACGTGGCTGCCCCTGGGCTTTGCAGGGAACGGAGGGCTGCCGGCCACTCGTGGCATTGAGACTGTGGTTGGGGTCTGCAGCCATCCCATTCTCTGAAAGGGACAGGGTCAGGAAGACTGAAGGTCCTGGCATCTTAGATGTGCCTGGGACGCCCTCCCAGTCTCTCCGCTCTGCAGAGGTTCGTGAACAACCATGAGAGGCAAACTCGGGCTTGTGTTCCTCGGTTCCCAGCCCGTTGCACTTTTTGTAAACATTGTAGTTTTGCTTTCTGTTAAATTGCTCGAGGACGTGGGTCCAGACAGGGCCCTGTCTCATCTCCCCTCTGCACCTGCTGTCCCTTCATCTGAAACGTGTCTCCTCATACATCTGCCTGTCGTGAACCTCCCTCAAAATCCACTTCAGCAGCTGTCCCCTGCTCTGAGAAGGTTCTAGAAGTTTCCCAACCTCATCCAATGGATCATAGCCTCCCTTGAAGCTTTCTGGGTGCCTGCCTTTGTTGGTCCACCCCCACACTGGGTGTGGTTCACACACTTCCATGTCTCTGGACCCCAGGATGCCAGGAACTGTAGCTAATGGTCCTGTGTGTGTGTGTGTGTGTGTGTGTGTGTGTGTGTTTTGAGACAGCCTCACTCTGTTGCTCAGGCTAGAGTTCAGTGGTGTGATCTCAGCTCACTACAACCTCTGCCTCCCGGGTTCAAATGATTTTCCTGCCTCAGCCTCCTAGGTAGCTGGGATTACAGGCATACACCACCACCTGGCTAATTTTTTGTATTTTTAGTAGAGATGGGGTTTCGCCTTGTTGGCCAGGCTGGTCTCGAACTCCTGACCTCAGGAGATTCGTCTGCCTTGCCTCCCGATGTGCTGGGCTTACAGGCGTGAGCTATTGTGCCTGGCTGGACTATAGCTAATATTTAGTGTGTGTCCTGCTGTGTTGGTCACCGCTCTAGATGATTCCACATGTATTTTCTCATTTACTTCCCAAGGCAGCTCTGTGACCCCATTTTAGAATGGAGAAACCGAGGTACAAGACATCAAACATCTAGCCCGGTGGTTCTCCCCTAGGGGTGATTTTGCCCCCACAGGGGACATTTGACAAAATCAGAAGACATTTTTTGTTATCACAGCTAGGGGCGGGGGTGCTGGTGGGATGAGGCCAGGAACACTGCTTGACGTCTAGTGCACAGGACTGCCCGTCCCACGGCAGAGAACTGGCCTCAGTCCCGAAGGCAAGGACCCTGCTGCCTGTTCTGCAGCGGGTGGGGTCAGGATTCAAACCTGGGCATTCTGGCTTCTGAGCTGCAGCTGCAGGCCCTCGAGGGTGGAACGGCAGGCCGGGTTTACCAGCTTAGCGGATCCTTCCTCTTGCTTCATTTGTTTAACAGCATTTTGTAAAAGGCGCCTTCTGTGCTGGGCAGTGTGGGCCGGGCACGGTGGATCATGCCTGTAATCCCAGCACTTTGGGAGGCTGAGGTGGGCAGATCAGGAGAATGAGGCCAACGTGGCGAAACGCTGTCTCTGCTAAAAGTACAAAAATTAGCTGGGCCTGGCAGCGCGTACCTATAATCCCAGCCACTCTGGAGGCTGAGGCAGGAATGAGCCAAGATTGTGTCATTGCACTCCAGCCTCGTGACAGAGCCAGATTCCATCAATCAATCAAGGGGCATTGTAAGGGGCAGTGTGGAGCAGCTGGGAGTGGCTTCTCTGCTATTAACCTCACACCTGAGGCGCTGAGAGAACACGGTTCCTTCCCAGCAAGAAGCCTGACCTCACAAAATTGGGACCGGCCTTAGGACTTGATTTTGAATCCTGTGCTGCTCTTTTGCCTCCTCTCCCTAATTAAACTGTCACGACCACTCCTTGCTAAAAGGGGCAGTACTCTCTACTGGTGACCAAGAGTGCCAGTCCAGGGCTCTGCTCTCCCTCGGCCTTTCCCAGGTGTCTGACAGCTCAGGAGGTGGGGCAGTTGTCATCCCGTTCTGTCAACACCCAGGTGCACTCCTGGGTGGGTTTCTTTTCTTTCTTTCCTTATTTATTTTATTTTTTTTTTTGAGACAGAGTCTCACACTGTCACCTGGGCTGGAGTACAGTGGTGTG